CCCTAAAATTTCTAAGAAAGAATTTGGGCTTATTGTTTAATCAATTTGTAATCAAAGTTATACTCCAGGTCAGGCAAATCAGAAAGGCTAAGGTTTGGTGATATAAAAATTATAAAAATGTTAAAGAACTGCTTCTCTGCTATAATTATTTCTGGATCATTTTGGAAATTGGTGAAAAAATGACACATTGAATGGCAAGTGTTTTCCCTCGGAAACATTCTCCGTTGCATCCCCCAGCAGTATCCCTCAGCCCCACCTTCTCTTTTTTCTATCTTTCCCAAAGTGACAGCTCGTCAACCTGGGGATGTCAGCAACAGGGCTGTCCCAGCTGCCAACAGGCTGGGCAGCAGAGAGAGGCACAGAGAGACACGGGAAAAATGCCTCCTTCTCAGGGATTCCCGGAAATAATGAGGGCCATGCGGATATCCATCACCAGAACAGTCTTGATTGAAAAATACACCCAGAAAGCTCTCCGGGAGCCTGGAGTTTCCTACATCATCTTGCCGGAAGTCCTGACCAGTTGGAGAACCCAGTAAAAACCCAGCCAGTCCTTGAGCAAAGCTCAAATAAATGAAACTTGCAATCAGGCCCCCTCTTGTTACATGTTGCAGAGATTGAAGGGATTGCAGCAACCCTACAGAATGTTTTCTCCCCTTTCAGAAGCTGCAGCATCTTTTTCTCTGTCATCCTGGATGTGAAAAACCAGCAGGAAAAGCACTTTGTCCTGGGCACAGGCAGAGTCACCACTGAATTCCAATGACCTGTGGTGTTGTCATATCCCAGGCATGTCCCACCAAAGCTCAGAGACAGAGACAAAAGAAGAACAAACTGTAGGGGAGATAAAGATCAGCTCCCAGTGTAGTGTAGAAAAAAGAGGGCAAAATTAGAGCTGGTGACCCAAGCTACCCCAGGGGTCGTGGAGGTAGGGCAGGTGCTATACTTCTCTGGATGCTTTCTTCAAAGGGAATGATAATCTGATCTGGGACTATGGAAAGGGCTTCCTCTGATGAATAAATGAAATACCGTGAGGGATGCATGTGACAGGCCAGCCACAGTGTCACACCCTCCCTTCTCTCTGCCTTGCCCCAGCTCCCTAGCTCTGGGTGAATGCAGAAAAGACGGCTGAGAAGGCCCAGGGACACAGAGGGGCCTTGAAGGCCAGCGTGACTTCCAGGGCTATGCAAATTCCCCAGGAGGAAAGAAACAGCCTGTGAATAGCTTCCAAATGGCTTTCAACCGTGTCAGGTCTCAACCTGAGTCATCTTAAGTTTGCACAAGGGTTGGGAGAGGGTGAAATCAAACAGAACCTAGAGCGGGGAGGAGAAATAGAAGTCCTCATTTCAGACAGCTCCCAGTGCACCAGGCCTTGCGCACGCGCACACACACACACACACACACACACACACACACACACACACAGGCATGCGCGCACGCACGCGCGCGCACACACACTATTTCATATACCCTTTCATATACACTTCCATACCGTTCACATGTGTGTGGTCATACACACTCATGTACACACTCAAAACACACACCAAATACGTGCCCACACTCATGCTCTACCAACATTCACACTCCAAAAAGGAATTTTATGCCAAATGTTTAAGCCTTCAGAACACATATTTTCACAGAGGTGATATTGCAAATGGTGGCCATGTTTCCAGGTTCCCACACATTAACCAAAATTTTAACTCACAAAGGAGGAGACAGAGCGCGTACTGGAAATTTGGTGACAATAAATGGAACTAAAATTCATGGCCTGTCTCTTTGATTTACTCAAAATGTTTTTAGCAGAACAGTATTTTGGATTAAATGCTTTTTAAAAGAGTTGTTGACGTGAACTCCCTGCCCTGGCCAGTGTGGGCCATGCTCAGAGCCTGATTCATAAACTTGCTGGGACCAGAGAGCAAGAGGCAGGAGAGCCCAGAGCCCAGGGACTGAGGTGCTCAGGACGGGCCTGGGACTACCAAAAGGGCTTAGTCTGACGGGGCCTCTGACATCCACTCCCCCGGCTCCCAAGCAGCCAACAGAAGGCAACACACAGCATTATCTCAACAGGTCTGCGTGATCAGTCAGGTGCCGGTTAGTGCCCATTTTTCAAGTGGAGAAACTGAGTTTCGGGTTAGTGATGGGCCCGAGGTCAGCCGTATCTAGTGCTGCCTCCAAAGCTGCATGC